ACGATTTTTAAACACATTTCCGATATTTCGATATACATTTGAATATATATATATAATTTTATACATTAGCATTTGTCACTGAATGACGTTCAGTGCTCAGCCGTCAGAAAGAGCAGAACAGAATTGCGTGATGACGTACATCACAGACACGCTGCCAGCGCTCAGCAGTAGTTGGTTAAGCTCCGTTGCGGAAAGTTTTAGCAACAAAATGAGTACCCCTGACTGCAACACAGATGTGGATCAACAAAATTCCATAAGTAAGAAAGCAGACGAAATAGTTGATAAGACAGGAAAGACTAATTCAGTGGTGTGGAAGTGGTTTGGCTTTTTAAGTTCGGATAAACTTCAGGTTTCGGTGCTCTGCAAAATGTGCCGGAGAGTGGTGCCGACTAGCAGCGGGAACACATCAAATCTGTTCCACCATTTGAAGCAGTTCCACCCGATAGGACATACTGAGAGTCAGAAGATGAGGCATCATAAAAGTTTAAGCCAACCTGTCCCCGAACCATCACCACCACCTCCATCCCCCTCCCCGACACCAAAACCAGAGAAGTCAATGAAGCAAACACAGATGGCTGCATTCCTACCTTATGACAAACAGTCTAAACGTCATAAAGACATTACTAGGGCTGTTACAAACTTCTTGGCTAAGGACATGATGCCATTTAGTATGGTGGATAGCGTGGGCTTCAGAAAAATGATGTCAGTCATTGACCTCCGATTCGAGCTCCCTAGTTGAAAATATTTTTCACGCACGGCTATACCTGCACTTTATAGTGAAGTTAGGGACAGGGTGGAGGAGCAACTTAAGTCAGTGTCGTATTTTGCGACCACAGCTGACCTCTGGTCTAGTTGAACCTCGGAACCGTACTTGAGCCTGACAGTCCACTTTATTGACAAAGATTGGAATCTTGTCAGCTTATGCCTCCAGACGGTCTACTTTCCAGAGGATCACACGGGCGAAGCAATTGCAGCCGGACTTGCAGATGCGCTTGCCTCCTGGGGACTCAGCGACGAGCAACAGGTCTTCATCACCACAGATAGAGGGACCAATATCATCAAAGCCGCTGAGTTGAATGGATGGGCAAGACTACAATGCTTCGGGCATCGATTGAACTCTGCCATTGGTAAGTTATACACAGTTCATGCAAATGCTCGCCATAATATCAGCGCTGGCCGCTTCAAATAGATTTTCATAAAGGCTTTGACTTTGCTAAATAAACATGAGCACTGCACGTTTCACAGTCAAAATGTGGCGCTGTTTTTTTTAAATGAATGTGTCTAAAAAGGAAACTTACTCTATTCAGAAAAGTTTGTCATTTTCATTTAATTTTTACTATAATTCCTTATAAAGTAATTCATGACCACTGCGCTACTTTGTGTCCAAATGTTACCAGGAAAATGCGGGAAACAGCACCTCCTTCTGGAAGAGGATTAATAATTAGTTGGCTTAGTGGCATAATTTTTATTATGATTTCTTTCCCTCTTTTTAAGCGATTTTATAGGGAATTAATTTAGTCTTTAGTCAAGACATACATATTTGTATAGATTATTCACAGTTCTCTCAATTAAATTCAAATGTGTTTTACTGGCATGGGGAACAGATGTTTACTTTTTTTTGCCAAATCAGATGTGAAAATAATTTATAAGCAGAATTGTGAATTTTTCTGAAAAATAATATTCTTAATAAAAAAAATAATAATAACAATATAAATTGTAGTTGAAATATAAATACAAATGATAACTATTGCAATCTGGAATATTTTTTTTTCTCTCTGTTTGCAGAGAAAGTTAACCAAGACAAGCGAGTGGACAGAGCTATTGGAGTCTGTAAAAAGGTAGTGGCTGCCTTCTCCTATTCATGGAAGAAGAAACGGGACCTGGCAACTGCTCAGGAGGAGTATCACTTGCCAAAGCACAAACTCATCAGTGAAACACCAACAAGATGGGGCTCCCGTCAACAAATGGTGAAGCGGGTTCTGGAGCAGAAAAGGGCCATCACAGAGGTCCTGTCAAAGGACAAGAAGACCAGGCCACTGATTCCTACCTGGCAAGATGTAGATGTTTTAGAGTCTATAGATGCAGCTCTAAGCCCACTCCTCGAATTCACTGATGCATTGTCCGGTGAATCCTATGTCAGTGTATCATTCCTAAAACCGGTGATGCATCTCTTCAACACCTCCATCTTGAAGGAGTCAAAGGATGACACAGAGCTCACCAGGACCATAAAGACAACAGTGATGGGATACCTTAACAAAAAGTATGATGACCCAACCATGGATGATCTACTTGACATGGCATGCCTCGTTGACCCAAGATTTAAGCTTCAGTACACTATGGAGGAGAAGAGAGAATACATCAAAGAGAGAGCTGTGTTGGAGATGCTGAAGGGAGAGAGAGCTGATGTGGTAAGGGAAGAGGAGTCCACAAAAGAAGCCATGGGAGATGCTTGTGCTCCAGCCAAGAGAACAAAGCGGTCTCTGGCTAGCTTTTTTGCAAACAGGCTCACCACTACTACTAACACAGAAGGCTTGAGTGCACAGCAGGCAGTTGAGAGGGAGCTCAGCAACTACCTTCTTTCTCCAGATACTGACAATGACTCAAACCCTCTGGATTGGTGGAAAGTCTATCAAAAGAACTTCCCCAGAGTAAGCCAACTGGCACAACATTACTTGTGCATTCAAGCCACAAGCTCCCCCTCTGAGAGAGTTTTTAGTACAGGTGGCAACATTGTCACGTGTAAAAGGGCATCACTGAAGCCAGATAATGTAAACCAGCTTGTATTTCTTGCCAGAAACCTCTAGAGCCTGTCATAGGGTGTCATCAACACTCAATGTTCCGGCCAGAGCAATGTGTTTTTGTTGTTGCTCACTCTTTATTTATTTTATTATTTTTATTTCTTTATCCTGGCTGAAGCAGTTTGTTTGTTGTTTCAATTTATATGAATAACCAGCCTGTTCTAGTTTAAATGGAAATATATTATTGTTAATAAGCTGAGTCTGACAGTTTTATTTATTTGATAGTTTATTTCACATTTCTTGTTTGTAAAGGCTAAATACAAATAAAAAGTGAACCTTATTTTTTTTGTACTGTTTTTATTTTTTTTTAAATTATATAATTT